GGCGGCTGTGCGAGTCGTCGTGCCTACCTGATCAGCTACACCGTTCATTAATATGTAGGCCTTTGTAGTAGTAGTAGTAGTATAGGGTTTTACGGCGCTCGCAACTGCTAAGGTCATATGAGCGCGCTTGTAGGCCTTTGACAATATTGAAATCTATGGAGTCAGATTGACAAAGTTTTTTAAATTATTTAAGCATTATTGATGAAAGATGTGATTAGCGAGATCATTAATTCTGTAAAAAAAACAAGTTAGCTAAAAGAAATGTACGGTACTGCAATTTCACTAAAACAAAAACTAGACCCTTACGTTCTAACAAAGCCTTACTAACTCTTTACCACACATTGTTTTTGCCTTATTTTAAAAACTATTGTTCAGCTGGAACAGTTTAGACGAAGATTTAATTTACTCTAATTATGTAATTCATATATAAACTTCGAAAAAGCTTTAGGCTGATCCCCCAAAACTCCCAGTTTTGTGGGAGAAAATTGGTCACACATAAAATGGGGTGTGACGAGATGACCAGTGTCTGCGTACCATAGAGCATTCTTGTCGGAAGAGAAGCTATCCATATTTGTGCATATATTCGTTGAATGACCAATGTTATGTGCTTGTGACGGAACCGGGAATTCCAGAACAGAACTTCTTTCATTTTTATGCAATAAGCCTATATTATAACTCATTTTGTACAGTGGTGTGACAGGAGTGTATCTCTCTGGGGCCGTGGATGTTTGCTGGGTGCATGCAGCCTCCACATGTCACGATGGTGCTGTTAGAGGCAAAGGTCCTCTCATTATATCTGACATTGTTTCTTCTATGTTGGCTTGGCCTCGTTTTTAACTCTCATTCGCTACGCCAAGCCACGGGCAGTGGCTCGGCTAAATAGTGACTTCCGTACTGCAAGCCGCCCCGACGGCTCGAGAACCGACCTTTAATTCTAGCTCAAATTTTATTCCTATCAACATATCTATGTTAAAATGAAGTTATAATATAACATTGACTTCTGGAAAAGCGTTTCCACCGAAAATCGGAAGTTTTGATATAGTTTTGAAACGAGATTTCGAAGTTTATGCGACTTTGTTGTTTATCGCAATGGCTAAATTATAGCCCAGATACCAGTCTTAGTACTTTTACACAACAAAATGTATTATTATTTTGCTTACTGAAGAAATGTAGCATTCTTGTTTAGAATATTGACACTCTGTTGGACTCAAATGCCATTGCTCTGTTATTGAGAAATCAATATTTTATAGTGCTAGATCTAGAATCTAGATCTAAATTGTCGAAATATTTTTTTCTCTCCAAAATAAATATTTATTGTGTGAAATTACACAAAAAGTTCCTCTCAAGACAAGTGTTGGTTTATTCCAAATGAAGTTCTGAATGATTCCATATAAGGTACAGATCTAGTGGGTTCTTTTTCTGTTTGTGAATGCATCTTGTCTTTTTTTCAAGATTATTAAAATAAAATCTTGTTCAATATCGGATGTTATGATCCAGAAGTACAAATTTTGTGGACTGCATGTAAATAACTGCACACTTTTCAATAAGTTCCAGTCCTATATTCATTTATGGTTATTTTGATGTATCATTTGACCAGGTGCAAACGTATTTTTTGAGTTTCACCAAAGATGATTTAATTTTTTATTTTCAAATTTTATCTGCATCCAAGCAAAATTGTGTTGCATTATCGCCTCTTACAGGAAACAAAGTTGAAAAATACACAAACAAACTTTACAGAGATGTATTCTACAAATCATACGGAGAATTTCGGTGTATAATATGTTGATATTTATTTGAATTTGTGGCCCCAATGACCTTTGAACTGTGCAGTCTAGTCATCGTCTCATTTCGCCCTCCCGAATAAAAATTCGTCCACATGCCCAAAATAATATGAAGCGTATGAGTTAAATTATTTTTGTCAGTTAGCAGGTGAGAAAGTGAGCGGATGAGGACAAAGACTGTCAGCTTTTGTATAGTGAGCGGATGAGGACAAAGACTGTCAGCTTTTGTAGCGTAGTTTGAATGTGGAGTGTGCACCCTATGTGTCGGGCCAGATCTCACGCTTCCTAAATGTGGACAGGGGTTGTCCGCTTTTTGCTGGGGCAAATTACCTTGAATATTTGTCTTCTGTTTTTTCTCTTTTGCCAAGTTCATAAATCAATAAATAACACTGTAGAAATCTAGCGTTGGCTCATGTGTCCTGGCTTTTCTTTTCAGCCGCTTGTGCCATTGAGTCACGTTCTTCCTCGCGCAAATGTGGCAATGTTCTTTTAGCGATGACGTATTCTCTAATTCTCTTGCATGCGTGTTCTGATTTTAAGAGTTTCCAGTAAATTTGTTAGAAATCAACCACAGGCGGATGGGTTTACCTAATATTGTCACCAACAAAGATAAAATCCATACACATGAGGCTCCAATATGTCTTCCATACATAGAAACTATGATCTTTGAAATGATTGGAGAACTGAAACCGGCATAGAATGTAGCACACACAGCTACACGGGCAAATAATCAGGCTCTGAGTGAGAATCAGATGGGTTTAATATCATAACAACCGTTCTATCCACAATTATGAAATTTAGACTCATAAAACGAAAAATATATTTTCCGTACATGTGCCAAAAATCTTTGAAATTTATTGTGAACTTTAGAAATTAAGAGAACTTCCAATGCAATAAACAGTGATTAAATAAGGCGAAATTCAGAACATTTTGCACACACAGTAACACAGTCAAGTATCATTGCTTTTAGATTATAATATGCTCATCGGGTCTTCTCGGATTGATAGCAGGGGGAAAACTGCTCTTTTCTACTTGTATGGAATCTATCATGGTTCGAGTGAGGATGCTGCCGATAGTACTTGTATGGAATCTATCATGGTTCGAGTGAGGATGCTGCCGATAGTTAGGGCCTATTGTTAGAAGTGTGGATTGCGCCATGACCTGCCCGCCTGTAGCTGGTGCGCGCATGTCACTGTTCCTCATGTCACTGAACTGTTCATCATGTCACTGTTCCTCATGTCACTGTTCCTCATGTCACTGTTCCTCATGTCACTGAACTGTTCCTCATGTCACTGTTCCCCATGCCACTGTTCCTCATGTCACTGTTCCTCATGTCACTGTTCCTCATGTCACTGAACTGTTCCTCATGTCACTGTTCCTCATGTCACTGTTCCTCATGTCACTGAACTGTTCCTCATATCACTGTTCCTCATGTCACTGAACTGTTCCTCATGTCACTGAACTGTTCCTCATGTCACTGTTCCTCAAGTCACTGAACTGTTCCTCATGTAACTGTTCCTCATGTCACTGTTCCCCATGCCACTGTTCCTCATGTCACTGTTCCTCATGTCACTGTTCCTCATGTCACTGTTCCCTGTGTCACTGTTCCCCATGTCACTGTTCCCCATGTCACTGTTCCTCATGTCACCGTTCCTCATGTCACTGTTCCTCATGTCACTGAACTGTTCCTCATATCACTGTTCCTCATGTCACTGAACTGTTCCTCATGTCACTGAACTGTTCCTCATGTCACTGAACTGTTGCGGGTGGTTGACGGGTGCTCTGGTGTGGTTTGCTTCTTCTTTCCTATCAAACATCTATCATCCTTATCTCTCCTCCTTTTTTGTGTTTGTTACTCTCTTGTAACACCTCTTTTTTGTGTTTGTTACTCTCTTGTATTGTGTTGCAAGTGCCGTAAAACTCTTACTATAACTAACTAACTAACTGAACTGTTCCTCATGTCACTGTTCCTCATGTCACTGTTCCTCATATCACTGTTCCTCATGTCACTGAACTGTTCCTCATGTCACTGTTCCTCATGTCACTGAACTGTTCCTCATGTCACTGTTCCTCATGTTACTGAACTGTTCCCCATGTCACTGTTCCTCATGTCACCGTTCCTCATGTCACTGAATTGTTCCTCATGTCACTGAACTGTTCCTCATGTCACTGAACTGTTCCTCATGTCACTGTTCCTCATGTCACTGTTCCTCATATCACTGTTCCTCATGTCACTGAACTGTTCCTCATATCACTGTTCCTCATGTCACTGAACTGTTCCTCATATCACTGTTCCTCATGTCACTGTTCCTCATGTCACTGTTCCTCATGTCACTGTTCCTCATGTCACTGTTCCTCATGTCACTGAACTGTGATGGCAAATTCGGGTTATGTTCTGTACTTCCTTTGTCGTAGAAGGGAAAAAAAGTTTTTGAATTAAGATTTGTTTGTTCTCTAGCTTGTCCCACACAAAAACTTTATAGATTCTTGTGGATTACTTTTGATTTCATTTACTTGAAATTTTAAATGTGACAGTCCTAATTTGTCTTGTTTCAGCAACATTTTTTTCCACGTTATTGGTTGATGTTAAAGGGTAGAGTTCCTGGGCACAGGTGGCTGTGTTCTGCCCGTCCATCTATCGTTGAAGATCAGCATGTTTACTGTACAGCTCTGGGTATACCGTACAGCTCTGGGTATACCGTACAGCTCTGGGTTTACCGTACATTACCGTACAGCTCTGGGTTTACCGTACATTACCCTACAGATCTGGGTTTACCGTACATTACCGTACAGCTCTGGGTTTACCGTACATTACCGTACAGCTCTGGGTTTACCGTACTTTACCGTACAGCTGTGGGTTTACCGTACATTACCGTACAGCTCTGGGTTTACCGTACATTACCGTACAGCTCTGGGTTTACCGTACATTACTGTACAGCTCTGGGTTTACCGTACATTACCGTACAGCTCTGGGTTTCTCGTACAGCTCTGGGGCAGGTTTTATGCTAGTTTTTGTTTTCCTTCCTGTGCCCGGAACAAGCAAGTCTTCCTTTTGAACATGCGTGATCATTGGAAATTTCAAACCGAAAAATTGTTGGCAAGCCGAGAGCCATTATAATTATGAAATGAAGGGGAAGGAAAAAGCCAACTTCCTCTTGTACCTTCCAAATACAAAGTAAGAACAGAAGAAGAAGAATAGATATCATTTATGCTGGGCATTTCCGTTTTCTAAAAAATGCTCAATGCGCATTACATGAATAAAAATATCACTCCTTACAAATTAATGGACATAGTATTATGCATATATATTATATTTATAATAAATATGTATGTATAAAAGTTTCTATGAGAAAAAAAGAAAAGTCCCGCAGTAAGCAATAAAACGTTTCCAACGGTCACTATAAAACTGAAGCTTGAATGGCTAGAAACATTCTATAAAAACATTCGTTTTCTGTGGATTTCTAAAACATTTCCGTTCTCTCTGTCTCTTTCTCCCCCTCCTCCCCACCTCTCTCTCTCTCTCTTTCTCTCTCTCTCTCTCTCATTCTCACACGCTATTTTTTCAGTCTCACGGTTGGGCATACACATGCATAATATAAATATATAT